CGTAACTGACTACCTCGGACGGGTTAACATCATTACCCATCACATCGATTCGCCACTGGTCACATGTATTCGGAGTTGTTTGAGAAAGAATCGGATCAAATCGAATCCAGAAAGATTCAGGAAGACGAGTCATGGTTTTATTGAACCATTGTAATTCTACTAGAACAGAGGGAAAAGAAGAAGGAAATGTATAATTAATCCAAACATTTTGACTTGCGCCGTAATCTTCAATTATTTCATCGGGAAATGTTAGTTCAACCAAGAACATATTGTTATTTTTCACCGGCATCCACATGCTGACCGCTTTGGGTTGCCAAGTTCTACTTTTGATAAAGTCATCATAGTTTTCTAATCCTGGCTTAGCAAAATCATAGCATGGTAATCCACAATCCGGATTGAATTGTGTATTAAAATTGTCAAAATCAGCATGAGAGTATGTGGTATAGTGGATGGCCGCTAAAGGGTTAGATGAATTAGAAATGTTACGTCCAAGTATATCTTGCATGTGAATAATTGCACCTGTCTTATAATCAAATCCAACTATGAACAAAGCCGTTTGAAATAAGAAATAAGGAGATGCATCAACTGACGTTTCGGATATGTTTGAATATAGAGGTACTGAAACAAAACCAGTTAAATCTGGTGGCATTGGTTCAATCTGTTGTAATGCTTTGTCAACCACCTTAATCACAGATGGATCCGACGAATTCAGTGGTAAAAGATAAGAGCGAGCTTCTTTCCATCCAGTTTCCAAGAACTGGAAATCACTGCCATTTCTCTTTGTCGAGAATTCAGAGTTATTATAGTTAAATGCGTAATTTTCTCTTTTCAAATAACAAGCGATACAAACTCCCCAATTATGTTCAGGATTTTTCAACAGACGAAAAGAATAATTAAACAATGCTTCAGATGGAGGAAGAGAAAGAAGTGACCGAGATATTTGACGAAATGCAGAAAGTTTGAATGGATCGGCAGCAATACCATAAATCCACGTTGAACCCCATTCGTTAGTGATTATTGGAAGTTGATCCTTATAATTCCAAAGTACTTTAGTGAATGTTTCTAAGCTGCTTGCTTGAATTTCAGCATTGGGATATCTTTTTTTAATAACAGTCCAGAGATGAATGACATCGTTGATTTTAGGTGGCCCTGTATTGTCTGCAGTGAAGTGATACACCAACGCTTCGCTTAATCCAGGCAGTACTACATCTCCGCCATATACGCATTGATCAGCTGAACAAGGTGTAGTAGCAGTTGGTTTATTATACATCATAACTAATAAATTTGTATTAGTCGCTTCATGTTTCCACATAAATGCTGGAGGCAAATCGGCTCCTCTACAATCAATGTTTGCTCCAACATGAAGAGATTTAATCCCATTCTTGGCAAAAATTGGTACAGAACTAATGGGATGACCCATATCATCCTTGTGTGACGCAGCAGTTCGACGTGGTTGATTAAATCGTTTATCTAATATTGCTGACAGACTCAATGAAAAACTGAATAAATTCTCATCCATCATTGGTACAAACATTGTCATTGCATGCGCATGGTATGTAATATCACCTTGTTCAATTGCCTTAGTCACTAGTTCGATTGTAGTTTTATTTGGTCTTTCATTGGTACATTTGGCGATATCATCAAAGAACTCTAATAAAATCCATGGATGAGTTGTGAAAATAAATCGTTCTTCTCCGCCTCGATCCCGTAATTGTTGAGCTAATGTAGCTGCAGCAGGTAGATGGTGATTGAAATAAAGCGAACATACGTTGGCAGCAAGATTGGTGAATCCAACATCCAAATGAGTCATTGACACTACATGAATATTTTTAATGAATGGATATGTCACACCAGAAGTATCCGGACCAGCAGCATGAACTGTCGAAAAGTAGAACAGAATCAATTTGAAAATTGGAAGTAGATAGAAGATCATTTTGGATGTGTGCTGGGTCTGCGATGATATAACGGACGACCGCACTTTTACATATATAAGTACAGTCTAAATGATTAATGAATGATATTTATACGATATAAGTAGGCATGCACCAGTTTTTAACTGGTGTTGAGGCATCCGGGAGAATTGCTTTAAATCAGTTGTCACGATTCTCTCAAAGCTGTAAAACATCTAATTTTGTAGAAAAATGTTTGCTCTACAAAATGCATTTGTTAAAAGAATTCCAGAATCATTTCTAAGAAAACTCGAAGTATTCTAAA